ACCGCCACAAACTTCAGTAGATTTAGGTGCAGGCACACTCAGAGGTGTTTTTTTTTGGAGAAAATAGTGGAAAAATAGCATCATAAAGGCAGAGAAAAAAATGAGTAAAAAAATAAAAAATACAAGAGTTTCTAAAGAATTTCCAAAATTTGGGCTAGAGATAGACTCGTATATCAATGCAATGTTTTATGCCAATGTATTCTTAATTTTTTTTTGTCTTTACATACATGCATGTCTTTGCTGATTCATTAGTGCATTCAGCACCCCTGCCTTGAATCACATGAAGCGCATGCATTGTTGCTCTCTTCATTTGCTATCCAATGTTACTGTTTTGTTTGACCTAAATATTATTTATCATGGTGTCATTTTTAATCCTTAAATAGAAGAAGAAAAACTAATAGCTTGAGAAAACAGCGGCACATAACTGTGATCTGATGAAGATTCTCAGTCATCCAGGTCATAGTCATTCCGTAAAAGTAAAAAAAAAACTTAGAAAATATTCATCCAGTGTAAATACTTCTGCTAGTTACTGCAGGTTTGTTTTCCTTTCATTAGGGCCTTTTCTTCATTTCAGGATTTAAAGGAGCGACAGAGAATGGGTCTATTAAGTTTTAATCCTTTAAATATATTGTTTAGCGCTTCTGATGTTTCCTACATGACGGCAGCTCCTTTGGTGTATTTTAACAGTGCATCTGTTTTTTATTTTTTGAACAAAGCACTTGAGATTGAAGTTAATGTCTTTTTATTTTAATCTGAATTTATATATTTAAATAACATCATGTTCACAACATGTGTCCTCAAAACACTTTTAAAAAATCAATCAATCCAGTCATGGTAACTGATTGAAAGTCAGTTATTTCCAAATTGATCGTAATGATTAAATGATGCAGTCAAGTTTAGGTTAATATTTTAACTGTGTTCTATTAAGGAACCCTAACAGACTGCATCATTGAGTTTCAGAATTTAGTCTTTAACACATGTAGTGACAGTGACAGTGTGACTTGACTTAGCGATAAACTGAGCCTGAATATAGTGACAGTGAAAACGTTTCTTCTCAAGTGATAAAAGATCAATGCTATTGTTTAATGCATTTTATCTTTCCATTAGGAAATATGTTTATCTCAATATGCTGTGTTTTCACAGACAGTATCCAGTGAACCATTACATAAAAGAGGCTAAAAAACTTAAGCACAAAGCAGATGCAGATGTAAGGTGTTCTTTTTATTATTATTATTGCACTACACTCTACATATCAGTGGATTTGCTGTCTTTTTACTCATATTCTGTTATGTCTGTGTAGCCAGATAAGCTCAGTAAAGCGTTCACCTACTTGGAAGCAGCCATGTTCTTCGTTGAGAGTGGCATTGCCTTGGAGAAAGACCCCCAGATTTCAGGGTCTTCCTATACGATGTTTGCAGAGACTGTGGAGCTCCTCAAGTAAGACGTCATACTTCAGCACTCTTTCAGGGGCTTTGGGATGTATTGCAGACAGATTTATTCAGAAAATTCCCCCAAATACTTTTTCTATACAGGACATTTAAATCTTACTTTATTTGTAAAGTGTACTTCAACCGAAGTGTGAGGAATAATTTTTATAATTCATGCTGATGTTTGTCTCATGCTCACAGATTTGTGCTGAAACTCAAAAACCCAGTGGACTCCTCTGCTGCACCCTCAGAGAAGGACTTTGTAGCTTTATGGTAAGAGTGAAGCTTCTTCTCCTGTTGGCTATTAGAATAATGAGGAATGATTTCTGCAGCTTATTTTATTCCCATCCTGTAGCACTATCTAATATTTTCCACTCCGTTATTTTATTTTTTTGTATCATGCTTTTAGTTTGAAATGCCAGTCCCTCCTGCAGATGGCCATGTTTCGACACAAACAAAAGATCGCAATAAAGTTTTCAAAAACACTTACAGATCACTTTAGTGTAAGTAAAAAAATAAGAATTTTTAAAAAGCGAACATTTTATAATCGTCTTTGCTTTCTTTGTCATACTAATGTTAAATTCTGATCATCTTTCAGAACTTTGCTCAGGGGCCCAAAAAACATCTTTCCTCGTCAAAGTAAGTCATTTTATCCTCTAAATAATTGAGATGTTAGTCCCTCTATACAGATATTCAACTTTTTTAATATATATGTATATATTTCTTTCTTTAGGACAGCAGAAAACCCATCCCCCAGTGTGCCATCTCCAGCCAGTTCAGGTCCCAGTTCAAATCACAGTGGGTCTAGTATCGCTGTGGATGGTGCCACTGTGGCGATTCCTCAAAACATAGAACAAATGGCTTTCTCTTATGTCAACATCACTTCACTGTTTGTTAGTGCTCATGACTTGTGGGAGCAGGCAGAGGAACTGGCACAAAAAGGCAGCGGTAAGAATGAAAACCCATCGAGCTCATTAGCTAGCTAGCATCCTACCCTTTTAAACTCAGATATTAGCTGTATTGGGATTAACACCATCTTTACTCCTTGTCTTAAACAAAGTAAAAGATAGCAACAATTAAAGAAAAATACATTTGGAGTTTTTTTTACACAATAGTTTTTGCTGCAGATACAGAGTCTGTTGTGTTTCCAGAATAGAATAGTAAGAATTAATATCAAAACAAAAAATGTATCCAATGATGCATGCTTTCAACTTTAATGGATAAAATCCTTAGTTATGATTTTCCTCCAACTGTAAAATTAGTGAAATTAGAATATTAATCCGTAGGTTTTAATATAAAAAACATATTAACATCAAAAGAGCTGTTTTTTTTTGTTTTTTTTTGTCAACCATGTTTGAATATTTTTGTCTTGATTAACTTTCATGGGTAGACCAGTGTTTGGTACTATAAGGTGTGAAAATAAATTCAAAAGCTCAGCTGCAAGTATACCTTCATACAAGCAAAAAAAATTTTTTTTTTTTTATGGCTTCCAATTGAACAGGCTAGATAAGTGTTTGAGAATAAATAAACATTTTTTTTTTCTCGTTTAAAGTAGTCCGTTCTGTAAAGCTGTTTATTCATCCAATTTAATACGTTTGTATTTCAGGTATTTCCACAGAGCTGGACGCTGCTCTGGGCCCACTGAAGCTGATTTCAAGTATGAGCTTCATGGTCCGTTACATCAGACAAGGGATCAACTGGTTAAGACTGGACAGCCAAAAGCTATGATGCTAGGAGCCTAGACTGTCCTCTGTCAGTCTTATCCGCAGGTTTTTTTTTTCTTGGTCTAGTCTTATTTCATTACCAAAGTCAATGGGAGATGATTTGTTTTTGAACTCCTCACTTTTCTCACAATATCTCTAGAACAAAAACATCTGTCATCTGAACCCCCAGTGTATGTTTGTTTTTTTCTTTCAATTAACAGCATTAAATAGATTTTGAAACCAGAGCTGAAAGCAAACATGAGAGGAAGATATTAATTTATTACCAAAAGTGCCATTTTTGGGGCTCAGTGAATCTGCCCTCTTAATCAAGGACATGTGGTTCAAGTATTTTGAGATTTGAGTTGTTCTTTTTTTAAGCTTTTGTTAGTATTATGATCTCTGAGGAGACCGGATACCATGGCACTTAAATCATCTTCGGTCTGTTGACCCTGCAGATCTGTTTGCTAGCTTCGTGTTTATTTGTGAGACATCAGTTTGACCTGATCCCTGTGATCTAAATAAGTTTTCTACTATAGTGCCACACAAATCAGAATCAGCCTTTAATTTATTATTCTAAGCTACCTTTTGGGTTTTACATTTCTTTTATGTGCAATAATCACAAATGATGGATAAAGATGTGTTTATGTGCCTTATGAAGAAGTTGAATTATTGGAGACTTGCCTTTAGTTTGGTCCTTCTCAGACACCGTAAGGTGCAGAAAGCACTGTGGATCAAGAGCAGCTGGAGCTTTAATGGTGCATAGGTGGAAACCAGCTCTTCTTCCTTGTCTTAATATTTCTTTTTTGCTGCTGTAAAACTTTGGTGTGCCTCGAGAAGCCTTTGTCTTCTCTGATCAAGGTGATGGTGATCTTATTGTTGTGATGTTTGTTCATGGTGGGTTCATCAGACCATAGCTGAAGAACACTTCAGCTCTTTATTAAAAAGTTTAGAGCTGAATAATTTAAAGAGCTTCTCGTCTCTGTGGTTGTTGCTCCTGTTGGCACAAGCTACAAAAAAAAAACAGTAAAAGCTGGATAACTGAAAGAATTAAATGAATGATTCAGTAGCCACGGTAGTTCTTCCTCTTATATCTGTGGTGGTGTCAAAATCTTGCTTTAAGATGGCAATATTCAGGCTTGTCTGTATTTGATCTAAATCCCACTTTTGCTCCTAGAACATGTGCAACCCCGCTGAACACCTTATTCAAGTCTTTTTCTGTCATATTTTAAGCAGCTGGAAAACTCTACCAAAATCAAGTTTTTTTTCAAACATATTTTGTTCATGAATTCTTTTAGATACGTTAGAGCAGTGAAGACCACAATAAACCAGTTGGACTGTGCTTCTTTGACCCAGAGCAATATGATGTTTTGTTGATATCACCACCTTTTATTTATATACAGAATGGGAGGATGAATTGTTTGCATGAAATTCTAAAAGGTCTAGGTATAACCTTGGGTCTTTAAATCAAATGATCAGAAATTGCTCCTAGCTTTGTTTCTATTCAAGTGATATATTTTAAATAAGGACCGACCGCTATGTAATTAGGAATTCTTTTTATGTAACCTTCAGCAGGATGTTGTTGAAATGATCTTTATAGTATGAAAAGATGAATGTCCACCCTGTACATGATGGGGAACTGCAACATTCGCCTCTCTTTTTCTTTCTGTTCACATCCTGTGGCTCTAATTTCATTTGTTTTGGCTGCTCAGTTTATGAATTGCCGTCTTGAATTGTTCAATTATATTTTGACTGGGAAAGAAAATGTTCAGAACGGTTTTTGAAAGAAAAATGTTTCTTTTTCATTTTGTGAAAATTTGTAAAACTGTGTTTGCAGTGTACAAAGATGAATAAACACTGGAAATGACACAGGTTGATGGGGGAGGGAGGCTTTCTCTGCTTTATTTTGAACAAAATAATGATATAATTTTAAAGGTTATACCAAAAGCTTCAAATAACATTTTCATAAAGATGACAATTTTCATAAGGGAGATAATGCGTTTTTCTTTTATTAAGTTGGTAAAAACATCTCTAGGAATGAACTTGGGCTCCTTAATGTTGATGCTGATGCTAAGACTCAAATTCTAGTATTTTATTATGAGAAAGGTCCAAAAATGTAGAGTAGTCTGAGATATCACAATAAAATCTGTCTGGGATCAAACTGTTTTAATTAATTAGAGGTTGAAAAAGCAAGACTTTTAAATTGAAGGATTTTCAAAAGAAAATAAAAAAATTGATTAAAAATCTTTTTTTTTTTATGTGTAATGGTCGATACTGAAGGGAGCAAAGGTGACATTAAACGTTTTACAATTTTTGAGGTTACAAATCTTAGTAATATTCTCATCACTTGAAAGAAAAGCAAATGATATTATTACAAATTTTTAGCTGTTTTAAGATATCCATAATACTGCTTAATCCTAAAAGAAAAATAATTTTTAAACCACCAGGATTTTTAAAAATATTCTCTTTGAAAAGCAGAGAACAGGGAAGCTTCACGTATCCGATTCTCCTATGAAGTTGGGGTTGCTGAAAGCCGGCTGCAACAGAAGAGGGAGAAGATGGACATTAGATTCATACGAATTCAACCTGATTTTCTCACAGAGCTGAAACCGGCTCATTAATGACCCACCACATCGATGTTGGTACTCGTTCTCGTCGGCAAAGTGAGACTGCTCAGTTTATATCCCCGCACTTTGAAGACATAGAACAGCAATCCAGCTATCAAGGAGAAGAAGGCGATTGCTCCGATGGTAGCGCCAACCATCAGCCCATTGTCTGTAGAGATGCAACTGTATGTTAAATTCTGCAGCTTTTAAAATGCTGTACAGATACATTAAAGTGAATCTCATACTTGGATTCATCACAACTTCATTTTTACAAATTTTATTTATGGCTTGCAAGATGATGAAAAATTAAAACTGTGAGAAAAAGTTATTGGAAACAAGCACCACTAATCTATATATCTCAAAAGATCTGAAAAGGTTTCCCGAGCCTCTGGATGGTTTCTCAGTATGGGTCAGCCGACTGCACTATCATTGGGCTAGCTGGAAAGCTGTGCAGAAGATGGTCACTGACTCAATCCACAAGGGGTAAATGAAATATCTTTGTTATAGAAGGTGGTTATTCAAATAGCGCCATACCCAAGCATGTTAGAAAGTTGAGTGGAAGGAAAATTGTGAAAAGAAAAGGTTATAAAGCAATGGATCAAAAATCCCTTAAAGAATTTGGGAGAACTTCACATGGTGTGGATGAAGCTGCATAGAGATGAATCCTATACATAGGCAAGACATGTTGCTTTCTGTTGTCAGCCACTCCATTTAATGTGGGCTATAATGAGGAATAATTGAACCATTAGTGGTCTGTAGTTTGAAGTCTAGGAAGAATTTTCCACAGACTGTAATGTGCTACAGTCGAGACGAAGATAAGGGACATTAGAGGCAACAATGCAATGCAACCTTGCAACCCAGCAGCGCCGCACGAGGAGCACCTCCAGGCACCACACTGCATTGATGCAGTAATTCTTGCACAGAGACAAGATATATATTCAGTACATACAAATCAGTCTGTGTTTAAAATAGCATTTTCTTTATTGATTTTGTGTATAAAGAGGCACTGAATTTTATAATCATCATAATTATCAAAAATAAAGGCTTGAAATATTGCATTCTGAAATTAATCTAGATTGGATTTGACTTTCACATTTTAAAAATAAGAGATTAAAAAAAATATTGAACTTTTTCCAGATGTATTTTAAGATCTTCATGTTTTCTGCCTCATAAGTAAATTACAGTTTGTGTTACAACTATTCAATGGTTTTAATACTTTGGCAGTTTGAATTCATGAAGGTATGGACTTCACTAATTTACTGTTAATCTTTTTAAAGGTTTCATTATTGGAGATATTAAACTAATATGGATCTTAAGCATAAAAGCATAAAACTTTCATGTGAATCTAATTGCCCTGCATTGGACTGGTGACCTGTCCAAGATGGACAGCTGCAGATAAACGGCTCTGCTTCATGCTCCTAGTGAATAAGGCGAAGGATTTTTATTAAAAGATTAAATATAAACTTTGGGCCCTCAGTGCTTGATGTAAAGTGTGAAAAGAAGTAGGCTAACCAAAGATCAGAATACCTTCTTCTGCAAGATATTTCAATAAGGCTGAACAGTGTAACAATCTAATGAAACGTGCATGAAGATCTACTTTGTTATTTAAAGGATTATCCATACTTACTTGCACCTGGGCTATCAGTGGGGAAAATAGGATTTTTATTTTCATCCGTTGTATGATCTGAAATAGAAGTTAACACAGAAACTCAGAATTTCATCACATCCAGATTGGTTGCAGAAGTAAAACATCACATATCATCAGAAATGGCATTTGAAGCGCCTTACACTGGCGATGGCGACAGGCAAAGCCTCTCTTCTGCAGGCAGTTGTTGTCATTCCAGTGCCCGTCTGGATACATCTCCACACAGTTCTCTTCAGCGATATCCCCGGGATGGAAGGCAGAGTTGGGCTCACCTTGAGCCCAGTTAAGGAATCCCAAGGATGTCTTGTCTGTCCACCCCCAACCAACTAAACGACAAAACATTGCATTTATAGCTGTGTGTTTGCAAGGATTAATCTGTAAGAGAATAATTAAAGTTGCCTGGTTTATTTCTTTCTTGACTCACAGTTTCCGTCCCGGGTTAGACCGATCCAGATGTTGTGGTGTTTGGTGTAGTTTAAGTTCCTGATGAACTCCACCTCTGCTCTGCTGTGGATGGATACCAGCTCAGTATTGTATGACTGGCATAAGTGTCGGGCATCATTCCAGGAGAAGGCCTCCTTCCCATCGTACACAAAGTAACAGTAATGGCCGTAGGGAACCCAGAAAGGCAAACACTTCCCATCGCCAGGGCTGGGAGTCGGAGGCGGTTTTGCTGAAAACATTAATGTTTCAAAACATATTCAGATTATACACTATTTCAAGAGAAGTAAATGCCCAGCATTGTTTGGTTTTACCCGAGGAGATCTTGCAGATGTAAGACTTTGCCTGGTCACACTTGGTGTCATTCCAGGTCCCATGGAACCAGATGGAAGCATGCATGCTGACACATCCCTCATCCTTGATGTTACTGGGCTCCCCTGGACCCCACTGCGTGAAGAAAACTGGCCAACCATCTGTCCACGTGTAGGAGCCATCCTCCTGCATTACAGCAGATTTGGTTTTTACTCTTCATATCTATTTTCCTTTGCAAAAATAGTTAGATAAATAAGCCTAGATTATTGTTCTTGTAAGTCCTCTACAAGAATCTATCAGGAGGAAAATAAACTTTATGTATTTAAAATAATTACACTCATTAGTGTTAATGAGTTCACAATTAGGTTTTTCAAATAAATATGTTTTATTATACAAATGGATATAGATCATGTAAGGTTTATTTATTAAGTTTGAGTTTAATTTATCGGAAGAAAATAAATGGTAATTTTTTTATGTAATAAATTTACATAACTCTTAAAATTTGGGTGAAATATTTCTGTGAGTGTGCTTTGAGAAGTCCTGTTTTGTATTTAACACACCCCAAGTATGAAGCACTGCAAGCATGAAAGAATCCGCTCTATTCAGACAACACCAACACATATCTTTCATCTCCCAAAAAAGATGGTGAGGCACGGTGAAAACAGTGTGATGCTGTAGGAGATTCCTTTAAAGACTTGAGGCTCTATTCATTAAAAAGCAGTTATCAAGGTGAGCTTTATATAAAATGCATATCAACCCTTTCAGATATAAATCTTTAAAAAATGACAATCATCCTTCCACCCTTTAAAAGGCACTATAGCTAAAGATTATGTTGAATGCACCTTGCGCCTTAATCCGATCCAGGCATCTGCCTTTCCCTGCAGGACGACTCCAGCCACAAAGGCCTGATCATAGCTCATGTCAATGCTGGCCAAGTTGCCGCCCTGCTCTTCGCAGGCTGTCTGAGCTTCATCCCAGGTAGCCGGTTCCTCAACCAGCTTGTAGCAGTTCTCGTACCAGGAGATGTAGTCAGCTGGGCAGGGGCTTTTGGTAGGAGGAGGAGGTTCAATGCTGCTTGCTGATCAGAGCCAGTCACACAGAAACAAGATGAAATTAATTAACTGCAGCTTTAAAGGGTTTGAATTAATTAAAGATTAAATTTATCTGACTAACATTTCTTTCTGTAGCAGACAAAGCTATGATCTTTGTGGCAGGCGTCATCGTTCCACTTGCCGGTAGAGAGAGGGCCATGAGTCATGGCCACACAATGTTCCTGTTTAGTAGAATATCAAAGATCATTAACCTGTTTTTGAAGGCATTGGCTAAAAATCCTCATCAGTTCTTACAAGATCCTTACCGTTCCTCCTACATTGTTGGGCTCATGTTCATTCCAGTTGGTGTACAGCACTGGACTGACCCCATCACACCAGGCGTACTGATTCTCCACTAAAAGATCTGACAGACCGATCCAAGTCGGGAGCTTCAAGTCTTTAAGGTAACTAGCCACAAAGTCTAGCGTAAAAAAATAAACAAGAATGAGCTTATAGTAAGCTGGATGGAATGAGCCCAATGAGCTGCTCTGGTAGTGGAGCTTATGCTTACCATTCTCATACTGGTTATCAATAATTGCCAGGTCTCCTCCTTGATCTTTGCACCAGCTTCGAGCATAAGACCAGTTCGCTTTCAGTTCATCTTTCTTCCCTTTGAACATGAAGCACTTGTCCTTAAAACGTAACCATCCTACAGGATAGAAAGATGGCAGCAAGTGAAGAAAACCTTGCATTCTGACCCCATCCACCCTCATTTATGAAGAAAACCTTTAAAGTTCCATGAACATTTTAAGCTTCAATGAAACACACTACTGTATGACGTCTGAAGGTCTTTCTAATGTTATATCTGTACTCCACCTGCAGGACAGTTGCCCTCCCAGGGTTGTGTGGGGGGAGGAGGTGTGTGGATGTCTCCAGGAAACTTCTTACACACATAACCCGCTCCAGCTCGGCCACAGTTGGCATCGTTCCATCCACCTTAACATACCAGCGGTCATTATCCAGCGAGTCAGAATATGGGTGTGCATGGTGAGGTTTCACAGCAAAGAAAAGTCTAAGTCTTTGAACCTTGATTTCTGTTCATCTGGACACACTGTTCCTCCCCGTTGGCATTGTTTGGCTCACCCGGAGACCAGTGGGTGTAGGTTAAAGGGGAAGAGTCGACCCACCTGAGGAGAGACAGAGTATTCACCTGTGCCTGGATGCATCTATTTTAATTTTTTTGCTAATCGGTTCAAGTATTTCCTTCCAGTTTTCCTGGAAAAGGTTTACTTTAGCATGACAAAAAAAAACATTATTGCGAGCTTTGAAAAATTAAGCCATAGAATGAAAGTCAGCAACCTATTAAATATGTGTCTGCCATCTTACTTTCAGTGTTTATTTATTAATAGAGTAACCAGCTGATCAAATCTAACCTATTTTTTAAAGTATCATTGTGTGTCATTTAGCCACTAGGGGCGCTAGATCTGTAACTTCCAGGTTTAACCCCCCCAAAGGTCCATTGCCAACACAGCACTCTCCAGCTGTGTTTACGATTCTGATAGCGGACAACTCTGGATCAGCAGATTAAGAAGTTATGGAGTTACCTATAAAGATGCGCCCCTATAAAGACAAAATGCATGACCAGGTCAGTGTCATAACTATTTTGTTCCATAAGTTTTAGCTTAGTTAGCTCTGGTGGTTAAGGGGAACTCAGACTGTCCGAAAGCTGCAATATGGATAAAATAACTCACTCTGTGACGTATTCGACCCTCTGAAGGTACATATGTGAGGTTCTTAGAAGAGCAGCTAGCACTGTGCATTGTTATGCATCACATTCTGTATATTGACCCCAAAATCATTCACATGCTCTCAAATTCTCTAACATAACAAGTTACACAGTGCTGGTGCATCGTTGTCAATAAAGAAACTACCCCTGTCTGAAAGTCCATTCATTTCCTTTGTGGCTAACTGGAAAATGGCAAAGAAATTATGCATCATGGATCATTATAGTCCTTGAATGCCTTTACTCTAGAATTACAATACTGATTCATGTTGAACTGTACATACATGTACTGTCCACTTGCAATGCCAAACATCCTCAAGCCGATCCAGGCTGCAGCTATCTTCCCTGTCCCCACCTGAGGAAATAGTGAAACATCAAATCAACAGACCTATTCTCATTGCCCACAGTAAATCTCATCTGTAAAAGTCAAAGAAACAAGGTGTACCATGCTGTTAACATATGCCTGTTCATCTTTGCTGAGGATCGACACAAGCTGAGCCTTCTCTGCATAGCAGCGCATCATGGCTGTGTGGAAGTCAACTATATCTGTGTCGTTGTAGTAGTAACAGATGTCACCGTTCTTCCTCCAGCCAGGATTTGAGCCACACTCAGGAGCTGGAAGATGAAGGATGCATAAAAAAAAAATAAGCCTTGAGAGATAATTTAATCCGGATCATGTCCTGAGGCCCTGGTGTTTCGTGGGGAAAGTTTACCTGGAACAGGAGATGGAGGTGCTGGGGGAATGACTGGAGTTTTTCCTTTGGTAATCATGCATATCCAATCCTGATGTGCATCACAGTTGAGGTCGTTCCACCAGGAGAAGGTTCCGTTGGTGCTGCTCACCATCTCCACGCACTCCTCACGGCCTTCGTGGTTATTTGGCTCTCCATAACCCCAGTTTGTGTGTGACAGTGGTGTTCCATCACTCCAGGAATAGCCTATGACACATGAAGAGAGATTAGGTGGTTTCGTTTAAAATTTATATGACACCTCTACCGATACTCACCACCTTCAATAGGGTTGTGCTTGAGGCCGATCCACTTAGTGCTGCCTTTAGTGTACAGAGACAAAAACTCTTCCTCCTCCTGATTGTGGATACTGACCAGATTAGCACCTCTGGATATGCAGTCTTCATATGCAGTGCCCCAGCTCTTCTTCTGGGACCAGTCTACATTGTGGAAAAGCTGCATCACACAGAAAAAGAAAAGATATTAGTCTCTCCTTTTGCTAAAGTTTACCTTTGCTTCCCTGTCATCGTTACCTTGTAGCAGTTCCTGAAGTGGGGCAAAGCTGTCCAGCCATCAGCGCAGCCCTGTGAAGGAGGAGGGGTTGGAGCCTCGGTAGGTGGGGTGATATCAGGTCTGAACTTTTCACAGATGAAGGCGTGCTCCTCTGAGCAGGGTTTGTCATCCCAGAAACCACCAATCTGACCCGTCGTCATAGCCACACAGGTACCATCCTCAGCATCTTTAAAATAATTGCATTTCCACCATATTAGACATCCTACTTCTCAGGCGGGGCTACATTTAGTTTTACTACCTGGCTGGTCTTGGTCCCAGTGAGTGAAGGTCAAAGGTAAACCGTTGTCCCACACGTAGTCGACCCCTCCGCTTAAGTCTCCTTGGGCACGGAGCCCCATCCACCAGAAGCCAGTCCTTCCAGTCAGAGCCACTGTGAAATGGGACTGCTCATAGCTGCAGTGAAACATGAAAGACGTCACATCAGGATCTAATCCATCACCTCTTATGGGTTTTATGTCCTTTTTTCACAGTTACCTATACAGTTACCTATTCTTCCTATGGCATAAATTTACCTGTTGTCTTGGGTCTCATAAATTTGTAAGAACATTGTTGTTTGAAATGATATTATAAATACCAAAGAACAAATGCAAAATGGTAATCCATCTGGGAATCTGAACTTGATCATTTCTGTTAATAGTTATTCTCCATCCATTTCAATTCACTATGAGCTATTTTACAAACTTTTCCTTAAGTTTCATTATTATAAAAAGATGTGGCCGATCACATGCTGTGCAAAACATACCAACAGGAAGCTTAAATTTGATGTAACAAAAGAAAGAAAGAAGGGTCAAGGGTTACAAACACATTCACAAAGCAAATGATTCTACACTAATTCATGGCTATGCTATAAGAAAAAATCAAAAAGACATTTAATACTCACATGTTTCCAATGTGCAGCAGGAAGCCGTCCTTCTCCTTACAGAAGGCTTTAGCATCAGACCAACTCCTGGCCGTCTCTTCCATCCAGTAGCATGAGTAGCCATATGCATCCCAACCCTGGAATAAACCAAGAAAACATTTGGCTGTTAAATGCATTGCTGCTGTTCCTATGTACAGATTAAAACATAAAGTGGAACTCAAAGAGGTGACGGAAAGGGAGTAAATATCTGGACAGTCCTACCTGAGGACATCCATAAATGGTGGGCTGGACTGAGGGGAGTGGGTAGTGTGCTTTGGGCATTTTGCATACATAGTTGTTAAGCTGTGTGCAGGATTTATCGTTCCATCTGCCAGTCTGGAAGGAAATGGATCATTATTAGCTACAAAGAACATCTATGTACCCGGCTGGCTGGATTGTTTGCAAAAATGAGACCTGACCTGATGTAACATCTCGACACAGTCCTCACTGAAGCCATTATGATTGTTGGGCTCTCCTGGTGCCCAGTAGGTAAAAGTTACTATGTGTTCATCAGACCACATGAACAGACCGGGGATGGCCAGGTCATTAAGACCAGTCCACACATTACTGGTGGCTGCAAAGGAGAAAACCTCACATTTAAGGCTTGGATGCTTGTTTTTTTTTCTCTTCTTGAACTTTAAGTGGTTTCATTCGCATACATACCCATGTATAGGTAACTTTCCACCCAGCTCTGTTCTTTCATGGACTGGATGGAAACAAGGTCAGCACCCAGATTCCTGCATGAGCTCCGGGCGTTATGCCAAGTCTTTTTGTCTCCAAAAGGTTTGTAGCAGAAATCTCCAAACTCATACCAGTCAGGTCCAGAGCATCTCAGCTCTGATGGCAGAAAGAACAAACAAGGGTTAAACAGAAATCATGTAGCACATTTGAAATATTTAGACTGATTAAATCTTTACTCACCCCCATTTGCAAAAGAAAACGAGACTTCATAGTCTCCATCAAATCTGAAGAAATAAGAATTAGAATGAACTTCTATGCTTTAGGTTACATGATATAAAGAGAACATTAACATTTAACTCACTGCCTGGAGGTGATGCCGTTCTTGGTGGAGCCAGGATAAAAGTTTTGTCCTGGAGCTTTTATTAAGGTGCAGTCTCCTCCGTTCTCATTGAGAACAACTCCTGCATGGATGGCTGCTGCACAGATGTTTGAGTCCTATTCCAGAAAATTATCCAAACAAACATAAAGGAAATCATTTAGATTGTCCTATACACGAAATACCTCATGGTGATACACATACTGTAATAGGACATAATTACATACCCCACGATATACAGATGTGCCATACACCTGGTAATCTGCTTTGGCACAGCCTGCTTGGCAATGCACCCTTAAGATACAGAAAGATTACTGAATAAATTACAATGAATCAAATGCTGCGGAAACAATTAAATGTTTTGGATTCAACTCACGTCATTTTATCATGGCCAGAACTGAAGTTGGGCTTGTCGGCACATGTAATTGCATCTGTCAAGCCGCAATTATTTTAGATGAGCATTTTCCATATTAGAATAGTATAATGGAGAAAGTGTCATGACTTCCTTACAGTCAGGTGTGCATCCCAAGACATCAAACCGGAGGCCCGCTTGACCGTTGAACTCCACTGGAAGGAGGCGGACATACTGAGCGGACACTGGTGTGCCAAGCAGCTGAGTTTCAGGGATATTTCTGTCTGTTGAACCTGGAAAAAACTTGAAATAGGAGAGAAAAAAATATTTAAGTAACTATTAGAAAGAAAAAAAAAAAGGCCATCCATCTTCTCCCACTATGTCCTCTCAGGCCTATCTCTAACTCTATAGGTGAGAGGCAGGGTACACCCTGGACAGGCTGCAAGTCTGTCGCAGGGCAACACAGAGACACAAAATAAGCACAATTTAGAGAAGTTAATGAACCTAACCAATGGCTTAAACATCAGTAAGCAGAGACAGCACTTGCTTACGCGCAATGACCTTAGGGGCCCCATCACTGACACCTGGTAGGCCCCCTACGCAATTGTAGACTACCTGATACCCACCTGATGCTAAAGTAACTGACCAAACCCGGACCTTATTTATACCCCAACACATGCCAGATTTCAACATGATGGTGAGCGTTTAAACACGACACCAATAGCAAAGTAGACAGTGGTACTTTTAATTAAAATGTTAATAACTGTGTATAGTTCATTAGACGGTTGGTAAAAAATACACTCATATAATATGTTTAAAGATCTTAAAAGAACGATGTATTTGAGTATTTTATTTTTTACAATACGACTTGAAATTATGGGTAATCCACAGTGTAGATTAAAACCATAACAATTCAATTCAGTTTATCTGAAGGCCCTTTACAGTTCACCAGATCATACAGTCAAATTGATTCAAAGTTTTTTATCTAAGAAAAACCAGTTGATTGCATCGACTCATTGACTCAAATACAATCCCTCACACTAAGCATGCTTGTAGCGACAGTGGAGAGGAAAAACTCACTTTTAACAGGAAGAAACCTCCAGCAGAACCAGGCTCAGTGTGAGCGGCCATCTGCTGAGGCCGACTGGGGTAATCGTTACGTATAATGTGTTAGAGACAATGGATACCAAAATGAGGTACTTAAGCAGATTCCAGGAAAGAAAAAGGAGAGAAGAGCTGCTGGAAGAACGGAAAAAACTTACCAAAATAAACACATTCTATGAAAGAACCATAGAGGCAGATGTGGACGTTGCTGCTACAGCCGCGGTTCTCAAAGTGTGTGGCGCGACCCACTGGTGGGGAATTGAGACGTGACAGGTGGGGCGCGCCAAGTTCCGGTGTGTGTGTGTGTGTGTGTGTGTGTGACTATAAATGTAGAATGTGTGAGAGCAAACTGTCCTTATAGCTGTATGTTGCCGCTTTTTAGACCAATCAAACCCACAAAGTAATCATTACTAGCCTACATGCAGTCTAATTAAAAGAACATTAGATATGAGAAAAATTTCACCTGGAACTGAAGTGCCAAAATAATGATTGACGTGACGTCGGCATATTATTTGTAACAGAATAAACTTTCGCGCCCCAGTGTTGCCAACTCAGCGACTTTGTCGCTATATTTCAGACCCCTCCAGCGACTCTTTTTCAAAAAAAACAAATCTAGCGCCTTTTGGAGACTCTTACGTGAAAGCACGTATCGTTCCTTTTCTTGTCCTCCAGCGGCAGGTGCTGCCGTGGGGCGCCTCCCCCGTCCCAACCCCGTTCTCCCCCGCTATTGCAGGAGTCCCTATCAGCGCTGCAGTCAGAGCAGAGACACAGCATGTTTAACTTTTGCGTCCAGACTGCAAATAAAGCGCACATGCGCCGGAATTGACGGCGCAGGTTGATCATAAATAACTGAATTTGAAATATTTTATCTTAAATAAATAACGGCGTTTGATTCACACAGCCACATGTTCATGTTTCTGGTTAGGAGTGGAGAGCGAGTATCCACTCATCGGGCAGAGAGCTGTGTGCATTCTTCTTCCCTTTGCCACATCATATCTCTGTGAGATGGGCTTTTCAGCTGCTGCTTCAATGAAAACAAAATACAGATCTCAGCAGAACATTGAGCATGACTTGAGAGTGGCAGTATCAAGCCTGCAACCCCGTTTTGAGAAACTGCAATGCAAAACAGGCTCATTGCAGCCACTAATGCAGGGATAAATAGACCTGTCTTGCCAGATGGATTTCACTTCTTTTCTTTTATTAACAGATTGCAGAGTGGCACTTTAATTTTTTCTATCTTTGAGCTTGATACAAATTTTGACACAGCTGCATTTTTATTTTCTTTATTTTTGAGCTTGCTGTTATTTGATGTAGATTTGTATTTAGATACTACTTGTTACTTCAATAAAATTGGAACATTTTAAGATTGTTGAATATTTCATTAGCATTGTGTTGGGGCGATGGGGACAGGCGGGGCTTGAAAATTCCCCCTTGTCCAAAGTGGGGAATGACAGAAAAAGTTTGAGAACCACTGTGCTACAGGGAGTAAAGATTGCCACCAAGAGATGAATGGAGAGGGTCACAGATGCCCGCTAGCTAAACTGTCCCGGATTTTAGACTATGCGAGGTGGTGTTTTTTTTATGCGAGTGAGACTGCAGGCAGTACAATAATTGCATCATGTGCGGATTAGAACTACTGCAATTGTGCAGGCAAGAATGCGGGGTGTGTGTATGTATGGGGCACATTTCGGGTCGGATGTCTAATCTCCATGAAATTAGTTCTTGGAACTTGGGATGTCTGTAACATATAGTGGTGCGTTGTCACTAATGGTTTCAATTAAGGTGCGTAGTCACTTCTTTTTTTTTCCGTGTGTGATCATATACTACTGAGAATTGCATAATTGTATCTTCTTGGCCAATTCATGGAACTGTCGCCGTATCCTGAACCTTTATTACATGTTTTACTTCATATGGGGCCCACCCAGATAAGGTTGCTTAAGGGCCTATTGTTGTGTTGCCATTGAACCTAACAGTCATTTTTTTGGACTGTGGGAGAGAGCTGGAGTGCCCAGAGAGATCGCATACATGCACAGGGAGAACATGCAAACTTTAGAAACTTGCAGAAAGATTCCGGGCAAGGAATTGAACCCAAAACCTTCTTGCTGCAAGGCAACAGCGCTACTCACTGCACCTTTGGGTATTTCAAAGATGAAGTAATTTTCATGTCAAATTTAAAAAAATATATGTTTTATTGATTTTTCATGTAGTTTTATAAAAAAACATTTTAGTTTTAATACTTTTATGCAAACATAAAAAAGATGGATGGATGGATGGATGGATGGATGGATGGATGGATGGATGATGATGGATGGATGGATGATGGATGGATGATGGATGGATGGATGGATGGATGATGGATGGATGGATGGATGGATGGATGGATGGATGGATGGATTCCACATTAGACTATGGAGAAAATTTTCTCTTACTCACTTCTCCATCAGCTGAGTAATCCTTCCAGCTTGTTCCATCCACACTGTGCTGCAGCTTAAATTTAGTGACCCAGTGGTCACTCTGAGGACAACCCTGGATTACAATCCCAGTTACTTTCCTGATCTGACCGAGGTTCACTTGGATCCAGCTTGAAGATGCTGAAAGAGCAGAACATCTTGTTTTACCTTAAGTCGACCAATTAGGCCTCTCCTGTGGACTTAACATGAAGCTCACAGTCAAAGGATATTTAGAAACCAGTTTCCTACCACTTCCTGAGGGCATCCAACAGGAATCTCCATTCAAACGTGCTTTTTGTGCGGTAAAGGAGCCGATGGAAGAAGAAGCAGAAAGCTGGATGTCTGTAATGTTCCCATCCTCGACACCCAGGCCGTGCAAACATACTGATAAAAGGCAACATTTATTTTATATAAACTGTGAACATAATGTGATCCTACATACAAAATAAAAAAAATCGACAGTATAAAGTATTTTCATTTTCAAAAATACAATAAAAACTGAGATAAAGATTTTACCTTTTTGCTCACAGCTATAGACTATCTCCAGATATTTAGACACAGTGGGACAGGGGTCCTCCTCGGTGTAGGCATAGGCAAAACAGAAAGGACGGTTATCACACGCCTTTCTGTACTGAGGAAGAACTCCTTCAACAGTGCAGCTGCCTGAAAAGCAGGTCAAAATCATAAACGGATAAATAAAATAGGTTGATTACACAAAACACTCTGCAATAGCTAATAGGCAGCAGGACCTTCAGATCCATCAAAGTGTGGGCAGATGTCGTCGCTCTTTCGGCCGTAGAAAGCAGACTGGATGTTTATCACACTCTCTTGTGGACAATGGAGGACGGCAGTAGATCCTTGGCACACGATTGCTGTCATAAAACCTGAACCAAAAAAAAAAAAAAATGATGTCAATATTGGGGGTATTTTATAGAATTTGATCTTATATCACCCACAAGGGAGCAGTAGGGAGATGTCTTCTTTACCATCATGTGGGGGAGGAGGCTCAGGTGTTTTTCCTGAAAATAAGAAGCTCACATTTAGCTCTCTGTCGACATATTATTTAATACTCTAGCCTCAGCAGCAGTTTAAGCAAAGCTTCTCACCTCTCCGCTTACAGATATATCCTCTCTTGCTCTCGCAGTTGTCATCATTCCAGTAGCCATTATTAATAAGTATCGTCAGGCAGTCTTCGCCGAGATAATCATCTGGGTTACCTGTCAGAGAGAACATAAATTCTGCTGTCTGACTGCTTTGGTTTTCAGAGATAACCCATATTTTTCACCCTCATATATACCTGCATTCCAGCGGATGTATCTAAACGGAGAGCCGTCCGTCCACTCCCAGCCACCCTCCGTGACTGAGTCATGGCCTCCCATCCACAGGGAGATCCCAGTTGGGGTCTGCTGGATCAGGGCTGCGTTTGAAACAGAACGGTTCGCTGAGCTGCTTTTCACATCAATAAGTTAATGATTTTAAGGATGTTTGTATGGCTGTGGAGCCTAATATGCTTCAATTCATTAACTGAAACAGGGAGGCTACAGTTCACCTGAAAATCTGTAAAGATGCTATGTGGTAATATTCAATATATATTACTTAGACTTAGACAACTTTTATTGTCATGTTGTATACACAGACGAAATTTGATTTTGTACAGCTTTCATGACAAATGTAAACAGTGTCGGAGAAAAAAAACATGGTTCAAAAACACACATTGATATGGTCAGTTTGATGCAGAGTCTGTGACGTGATTTTTAAGTTTTTTCAACATTCAGCAGTCTGATGGCGGTGAGGAAGAAGCCGTTTTGGAATCTCCTGGATATGGATTGAACGCTGCGAGGCCTCTTCCCAGAGGGTGGCAGCGAGAACAGTCCCTGGTGGGGGTGTGAGGGGTCACTGATGATGGCTCGGGACATGCAGCGCTGGGATGAAATGGGAAGAATCCTCTCTGCTGTTCTCACCAATCTTTTCGCCTTCCTCAAGTCCATTTATTTACTACGCATAATTAATGGTTAAAGCGCACTTCTAAAAAATAAAGACCATCACCAAAAGCCATTCATACACTGTATTTATCAAGTTATGACTATTGTCTTTTCACTCAACCATTTAAAGTTTTTTTTTTATCTCTGTAAAAAAAAATATTGCCAAGTTTGGTATGCAGTGTTTACAGCCAGGACAATGTGAGGCAGGTTTCACTTTTTGTAGATGAGTTGTGCACAAACAGGAGTAAATCCATAGAAAGGGTTCTTTTGATAGATTGATTTAAAATTGACTCTAGGTTTTAAAGTTAATCTCAGGACGCCACTGGATATTTAATAATCATAACATAATTATGTATATATTTGTAGGCATAAGGTACATGATTATTGTTTTACTAATTAGCAAATTATGATGTTCACCTAAAACTCTTTTAGCAGCTTAATATAACATCCCTAAAGCCCAAACCAAGCAGGATCTGGGTATGAAGACGCTGAAAATGAATGAGGATTATGTACTTCACCACAACTAGAAAATTTTTTGCTTTATATTCATGCAAATAGACAATATACTACAAAAACAGGAGCAAGATGGCTTAGAGCGTTAATTACCTTGTATGAAGGTCTGCTCAAAGGGTTCAGTGATACTGAGAAGATCCCCTCCCTGGTTGACACAGTCAGCTCGAGCCTCTGCCCAGGTTCTCATTGATAGGTAGTTTAAAAGGTAGCAGTAGTCATTGAAAGGGTCAGGGGTCCAAGAGCCACATTTCTCATTCCATCCTGCAGCAGATGCAACAACTCAGACATCCACATGCATTGAAAGACGAGTTAGTAACAGGACTGGGAGCAGAGGAACATACCTGGTCCAGACGTTGGAGGGTGAGGAGGAGGTCCTTGACCCTTTGCTAAGGTGAAAGAAAGTTAAAGGTTACTACAAAAAGAGAAGGGTGGATAAAGGAAGTGAAGATGTGTAAAAGCATCACACCTTTTTTACAAACAAATTCCTTCGTGGCAGTGCATTTTTCATCATTAAGCTTCCCAGGATCAGGGTGGGTCATTCCTGTCAGGTGAACGCAGTCCTCATTGTTTTCCCAGTTGTCTGGTTGGCTGAGCGCCCAGGGGAGGAGGTCCTGACATCATCAGCAAAGAGAAACACAAACTGAGGTGCTGCTGAGACGTTACAGCGGAATGAGAGTTTGTCGGATGAGTTTAGCTATGGTTAACTTACTGCAGCGCTTCCATCGGTGTACACGAAAACGCTTTCAGCTGTGATGTCATTTAAGCCCACCCAGGCTTCCCCTGGCATATGAGCTGTGAAAAAAAAGAGATACGCTGAACAACGTCAATAGAGTATTCAAAAAGTATTCAAACCCTTTTAAATCGTTTGTCATGAAACAGCAGCAACTTTTATGCATTTTTTATTATTTGATTCTATGCAAGAGACCAACAGGTAGTGTATAACTGTGACTTAAGTTTTAAGTTTAAGTTTTATTGAAAGGATCCCCATTAGCTACAGCTATGCTGCAGCTATTCTTCCTGGGGTCCTGAAAAAATATATACATTAAAAACAAAACTAAGAATACAACCAATATTTGAAAGAAAAAGAAAATACACAAACACATATAAAAATACATATACAATATATACACATATTAACGTACATATGTACCCTCATGCGGGTGTGATATATGACAAATATAAAACACATTCTACACTTACACCTGTAAACATACATACACATACATATTCACACACATATAAATATAAACATTCAGTTATATTATTTTGATAAATGCTGTTTTACATATAATTTGAATTTATTGACATTATTAGCAAGCAGGATATGTTTTGGCAGATTATTCCATTCTTTCATACCTCTGAACACAACAGTATTTTTCATGGCATTAGTTCTTACTATGGGTAAAGTGAAATTACCTTTAGTTGCATGTCTAGTACTGTACTGATGATTTACTACACTGAAAGAAAGATGCTTGAACAAAACAGAAGGAAATTTGGAATTAGAAATATTTCTTATGAAAATTAACAATGAATACAACAATCTATCTTTGACCAACAACCAATTAAGATCTTTGTGCATTAATGTTATATTTCTCCTGTAGCTGCATCTGAGTGCTACACGAGCAGCTCTATTCTGTATAAGTTGTAATTTATTTATATATTCTCCAGTGGCATTTGACCAAACTGCTGGGCAATAGTCGAGGTATGTCAATATTAGTGCTTTCATTGCATAATTCCTAATGTTTGAAGTTAAGAAATTTGCATGTCTTCTCATAATGGATATACCTCTTCCCATTTTTGCAATAATATTACTAATATGTTTTTTCCATGATAACCTAGAGTCAACTATTACACCCAGCAGTCTGGTCTCATGCACCTGTTCAATAACTGCGTTGTTAATCTTAATATTAATTACAGGATTCTGTTTAATATTGTAATTTGAACCTAAAATCATGCAATTAGTTTTTACAGTATTTAATGCCAGTTTATTTGATTTGACCCAATCTACTACATATTGTAATTCTGTATTTAAAACAGTTTCTAATTCAATTTGTGTACTTGCTGATGTATATATAGTTGAATCGTCAGCGTACATGACAATATTAGCCTTATGTAAAATATATGGTAAATCATTAGTAAAAATATTAAATAATAGTGGACCCAGACAGCTACCTTGGGGTACTCCACATGTAATTTTTCTGATACCTGAGAAACTGCCATTGAAAAACACTGTCTGTGTTCTATTTGACAAGTAACTGTACATCCATGTGATTGCAGATTGCTCAAACCCGTAACAGGATAATTTTGTTAATAGCAGGTTATGATCTATGATGTCGAAAGCAGCAGAAAAATCTAAAAATACAACACCTGTAATTTTTTTTTTTTTTCAGTCTCTCTAAGCCAATCATCAGACATGTGAGTCAGTGCAGTGGCAGTGGAGTGACTTTTTCTGTATGCATGCTGAAAATCTGTTAATAAATCATTTGTATAAAAATAGTTATTAATTTGATCGTGTACTATAGACTCCAGTATTTTAGATAATACAGGTAATATACTTATCGGGCGACTGTTGGAACCGGAGAAAGGCATTTTTTTATCTTTGGGCAGAGGAACTATTTTAGCCTGCTTCCATGCCTGTGGGCAGGTACAGCAGCTAAAACTAAGGTTAATAATATGGGTTAGAGCAGGGGCAATAAAGTCAGCAGCTAGTTTCAGAAGCCTGCCGTCAAGACCATCTACACCTGGTGGTTTGTTTTTGCAGGTTTTTAAAAGATTCTTTACTTGATCTATATTTACACTTTGTAGTTTAAACCTTAAGTTTTTATTTTTCATCAATTCATTTCTTATTAATAGATAAGATATATCATTACTTAGATTAGGCATATTTTCTCTTAGTTTATCTGATTTTTTAATAAAATAATCATTGAGATGGTTTACAATATCTATTGGCTTAGTTATGAGTTTATCCCCTGTTTCCAAAAAAGATGGATTTATTTTGTTTTTCTTACCAGTCAATTGATTTAAAACATTCCATAACTTCCTATTATCTTTACCTATGTTTTTAACGTGATTATCAAAATACATTTTCTTCTTCTTATTATTAAGTTTAGTAACAGAATTTCTCATTTTACGATATAGATCCCAATCACTTTTATTTCCTGTCATAACTGCAGTTCTTTTCATTTGACATCTTATTTTCATAGAGTTTTTCAGTTCTTCATCCAACCAAGGTGTGACGTTGTTTCTGACCGTAAACTTCTTCAAAGGTGCATGTTTATCAATCAATGGCAAGAATAGCTTGTTAAATTTAAATAGAGCAGTTTCTGGATTACTAGCAGCCAACACATCAGACCAGCATAAAGCTTGAACATCTTCAATAAACTTGTCATTTTTAAACAACTTATAGGATCTTTTAAATAAGACTGTAGTTCCTGAGCCACTCAGTTTAGTTGTTAATGCAGAAATGATCAAATTATGATCACTGCTACCAGTGGGAATAGACAGTACCTTTTTACATAGTTCAGGACGGTTTGTGAAAATATGATCTATACAGGTAGATGTACTAGTGCCATCGTTCTTGAAACATATTCTTGTGGGTTTGTTTATCAGTTGAGTAAGTCCACATGCATTTGCAGTAGTTAACAGTTTTCTTTTCAAGTGGCAATCTTTAGCAAACCAGTCAATGTTCAAGTCACCTATGAAATATTACTTAACAGTCAAAGTTACATTTGTATTCAGCTCCCTTTGCTTAACTTACCAAATAAAATCCAGTGTTACTAATTTATTTGGTTGCTCCGTAAAGAGCTAAAAGGTTTATTAAAATAAATAGCTACACATGAGAGCAGGTTTATGTCAACTGTGGAAAAGCTGCAGAGTTTCCCATTGGGAAGATCTGTTGACAAAAGATTGAACTTTTTCCCCTGGTCTTGATCATATGTATTGGAAAAAGAGCCGCCTTCTAATAGCACAATTTCATGGTTTAAATGGTTGCATCACTGAGTTCTGTTATTAGGGTGGTTTTCCTCAGCACAACAGAAAAGCTGGTACTAATGGCAAAAATGGAAACTATTCCTAAAAGAAACAGAAGTCATGGGTTATAGTAGAAATAGGAAAACATGCAGCTCCAATTAAATCAAAGGCATTGAACAGAAATGCAGAATACACTTTTTTAGACTTTTAACGAGGGAGATGAAATTATGTTTTGTTTCTCTTATGTCACAGTTATACTCCACCTTTTGTTTGGTCCATCACATTAATTAAGTTTGTTGTAAAATGGAAAAATTCAAAGTGTATGAATATTGATGCATGGGGTTATAATCCATAGCTGCCCACCAGTGAGGAAACTGAGCTCTTCCTCATTATGAAAGCTGACCAGATGACCCTGCTCTTTGGTGCAATGAGCCTCGGCATCATGCCAGTTTTTCACCTGCTCGCTCTCAAAGTGATAGCAGTAGTCCTTATACAGCAGGTATCCTCTGTCACAGTGGCCATCTGAAGCAAACACAACAGTTACTGGTAGAGCTGGGACTGCAATGTACATACAGAGGGCGGATGAAAAGGAACTAACCAGGAGATGCAGTGGGTTGAGGGTTCATTCCACCTGTCATCTCACAGATGTAACCCAGGTTCTTAAAGCAGTTGGTTGTTTCCCATTTGCCCTCATAGTTCCCTAAAAACCAGAGCAATCATTCTGGAAGCTAGCAGCAGGAACAGTTTATATAAGTGCAAAGTGACAGAGGGGAGAGTCTCACCTGTAAAGATCTGACCACAGTCCCACGTGTCAATCGTGTTTCGGGGCCAGCCAGCTCCGTAATTTGAAAATTCGACTTTGCTTTTATCCGTCCATTTGAAGTCTCCGTCCTGGTACATATCTGGTGGCACATCAGAACTTTATCATAGGAACTTAAAAGGGACTTTTCAATGGATAAATAGGAGATTTGATCAAAGCCAATGGAGGACCTGATAGGCCGATCCAGATGTCAGGAATGTCAACTTGGTGAAAGTCTGGAAGTTTCCCGTTTATGAAAAACTGCTCTTCTTGACTTTGTGTGATTAAAAAAGACAAATAAAAAAAAATCACATTACAAAAATGAAACTTCAGCTGCCTAAAAAAGTTAAAATTTTGGTTATTTTTTAGTTTTTTTTTTATTATTGTCAACAACAAAACGAGGAATGTATCCTCTCAATAACACACAGTAAAATCCTTCCAAGAGGCTTTTAACCTTTCTTTTACTGTGAAACACTGTGATCCTCTGCTTGCAATAAAGAAAGCAGGTAATGTTTCTAACAGAGGCTTACGGAAGAGGATTAGAGCCACTGAAAAAAAAAACAAGTTAACTGATTTTTAAATTTTATTTCAGTTTAACATGGGAAAAAAGTCAGAATTCTGACTTTAATCTCAAAATTCTGAGAACAAAGTCAGAATTTTGAGATCAAAGTCAGAATTTTGAGAAAAAAGTCAGAATTCTGAGATTAAAGTCAGAATTCTGACTTTTTTCCCATGTTAAACTGAAATAAAATAAAAAAAATCTGTTAACATTTTTTTTTTCAGTGGCCCTAATCCTCTTCCGTAGAGGCTGAACCAGAACATTTCATAGAAAAAAACAGGACCCCAGGATTGTTTTTTTTTAAACCAACATGGTTGTTTCCAAAGATAATATCCATACGAAAAACGTAAATCCCTTTAGCTGGATTTATTCCTTTTACGACTCTGAAAACTGATGTTATTAAACATGCAAAAGGATTTTTAATTTTTTTAAACAACTTGAATAAGTTTTATGAATAAAAAAAATGAAGGTATAACCAATTAAACCCCACCTCAGATTTAATCAGCTCAGAAATGAAGAACTGAATAAAATTTTTTCATATGCTGCAATAGTGTTTGCATTACAATTTAAGTGCTAGTTTTTAGTTATTTTGGAGCAATAAAGCAAAAGGTGAAAAAAAAGAAAGTTTCTCATTTTAATATTTTCTGGTTTTATATCTAAACAAACATAACTTTTGTCCAGAGCTACCTCACTGCAAGATGTACTGAGAATACTCTACTGGTGGCCTTCATTTGTTGCATTATATATATATAATATATATATATTTGAATTTGTTAAACAAGTGTAATTTAAAAGTGCTGTTACGTTCTGTTTTGTTTTGTTTTTTTTTTTTTGGTATGTGTTAAAGCTCCTGTATAAAAGGTTCAACTCATATCCTATGTGATGATGGTGATATAAAAGAGAAAATAAACATTTCTGACAATTTTTTAAGTGCAATGTTCTTTGGTCTCTACCTGTTAATGAACAGCAGGTGAGCGCTCATACCAGAGCATGCGGTTGCAGCCTCATGCCAAGTGGTCAACATATTGATGTTACTGACGATCCAGTAACAGCTTCCCTTAAAGCTCTGCCAACCCGGAGGACAGATAGCTGGAAGAAGAGAGGACATCACTCACAATCCAAACAGTACAAGGGAACCCTCGGAAAAATGATCACATCTAGCTGAGCTTACTGCTGATTAGACGTTTGCATATGTATGGACGCTCATATTTGCACAAATGGGACCTCCACTTTCCAAATGCCTCCGACGAGTCTTTGATTAAGGCAGCGCACCCGCCGACTTGTGGGTCTCTGTTAGAGAATAAAAGCTTTAACCCAAATGTATGACGTTTTCATAGAAATAAGTCAAAATGTTTTCTGTGGAGATATTTGGTCTTACACTGACTGGTTGCCATCCCAGTTGGTGAATCCCACCTGCATTGCATCAGACCAGGCAAACTGGCTGTTCGCAGGATCAAGCTGACATGAAATCTTGTTGCATTTCTGGAGAAACAAAACTCCTTTTCAAAGTCATAAGGGTCAAAATTTATCTTTTATCCTCCAGCAGACACATGAATGTCTCAATCCATCAACATATTCAACTCACCAGAGTGGAGAGCCCAATCCAGAAGTCCAGGTGTGTTGATGACAGTGTTCCCATCATATACGTATTTTCCTCCAGTGAGGTTATAGAAACCAGGTCTCCTCCCTCCTGCAAACAGTCAAGTCTGGCTGCCGACCAGCTCTTCATGGTTTCTGACTTAAACTTGTAGCAGTTGGAGCCGTGCTGCCGCCAGCCGTTGGCTAAGTCACACTGTGGGGCAGGATTTGCTGCAGGAGATGGAAAACGGCTTTAACTATTTCCTAACTAAACCATCTCAGTATGGAAGCAGCTGTGATTAACTATATCAGCTGGATTGTTTGGAACTGTACTGAAATGTGCTTTACACCAAATTATTAACAGGTCATATCAAAATATAGAAACCTGCTGGGACTAGCCTGTAGCATTTCAGCAAACTACTCAACTCAAAACAGCATCAGTCAGAAAAACCCGAGTTTGTTAGAGTATCTGTAGCTTTAAAAACAAAAGATCTTTTACGAAATTCAAAATGCACCCAAAAAAAAAAACTGTTAATTCCCGTCATTATTTGCTTCCTGTAGTTTTCTAATGATCAGTTAGCTTTATTGAAAACTAAATATTTTTTTCTTATCTGGAAAATATACAGAAATCTCTTGCTTCTTTAGAGATGTGATACAATTTATAAGTAACTTTGTTCCAGTATGTGCCTCCCTGAGATAGAAATAGCTTTTATATTTGGAAAACAAAGAGCACAGCAGTGTGCAAGGAAAATATGTTACATGCAGACAGAGAGGGGTAGTAACTAGCTTTATTTACTCAGTTACTTTTAATTGAGTATCTTTTAGAGAAAAATGCTTTTAGAACGAGTTGTACTTTACTGTACTTTTTACCAAGATAATATTCTTTTGAATGCATCTCTATTCTTAGTAAAGTAAACCTTCTGGTGATTCCACTAACCATGATGAACTTGAGCTATTTGGAGATCAGGTTAAAAATAAGATAAACCGTAGATATTGTTGTTGCAAGTTCTTTATTCTTACCTAACATGCATCACCTTCTTACATAGCTGTCTGTCTGATTACATAATTTTAAACATTAAATCAGATGTTACACACCAATAATTACTTACCGTAGTATTTGAGTACATATTTTACTAAGTCCCTTTATACTCCTACTTGAGTAAAACAAAAAACGGATTTTAAGTAGTATAACTTTCACTCCAGTACAATTTTTGGATACTTTACCTCTGCATGGAGATGATAAGACAGGTGTAAGGGTTTTTTATTAAATCAAGGAACATAAGAAATTGTTTTCAAAGGACAAATATAATAAAATACAAAAAATCAGATTCCAAAATACCCACCTTTTTCATGTTCATTAATATTTATGTTTTGCACCAAAATAACATTGTGGACATATTTTTATACAAATTCGACTTAAAAGAAACATCAGAAAGTGGCTCAATACGGTAGATGACATTCAAATGGGTGGGATCTGTTACCTACTGTTAGGTTTCTGTTATGTTTTTCTTTTGTTATTGCTTTTTGTTTTATAGGTTTTTATGGTTTAATTCTTATTTTGTTGTGTTTCTTGGGTTTTCCTCAGTTACTGTCTCAGTCTTGATTCTGTTATATTTCCTTTTTAGTGTTTTGTTTTGCTTTACTCTTTGTTTTCTAGTATTAGTGGTTTTATTTTAATTTTGCTGTGTTCTCTGGTTTATTCTTAGTTACTGTTTCAGTCTTGGCTCTGTTATGTTTTTCTTTTGAGTGTTCAGTTTTGCTTTACTCCATGTTTTATAGTCTTAGTGGTTTAATTCTTATTTATTTTTTTGTGGTTATTTTCAGTTCTCAGGTTTTTATTTGTTGCCCTCTGCTGCACTCTTGAGTTCTCCTTATTTCTCTTGCTCCTTTCTTGTTTCTGCTCTGCTTACATCTGCTCCTAATCTGCTCGTTAAACCTCTCTTTGTTTCAGTCTCCTACAAATACTCTCTCTATTCCGTTCTTCTTTGCTGGGTCCTCGTCTAACTTCCTCCAACTCCGTCTCTCTAAGCCTTCCACTTCTAGATTGAATCCCCCCTGATGTCTCCATGTGTTCTGGTTTGTTTTTTGACTTTGTTTTCATGTTTTGATTTTTGGGATTTTGGATATTTGGACTCCTGGTTTTCAGTTTGTTTGGACTTAGTTTTTCATGCTTGGATTTTTGGATTTCCTGCCTCTGTTTTCTGTTAACCTTTAATTAAACCCCACAAGGAAATCACCTCTGCCTCCCTACCTCTGCATTTTGGGTCATCTATCCACTACCAAATCATGACACCTACATTTCCTTACATTCAATAGTCTGAATAATAGATAAAACAATAAAGTTTGTCCCTGTGGACATAAATGGAAATAAACCACTTAGAGCCTGCATCCAGGTTTCCTTACCGTTGATGTATTTGCAGATGTATTTCCTCTTGCTGTTGCAGTTTTCATCGTTCCACTGTCCAAAGCTTTCTCCTACCAACTCACCACAGTCCTCATCATTCCAGTTATCAGGCTGGCCGGACATCCAGTACCTGAAGGAAAGGGAATGCTGTTCTTTGATGAATGGACTCGAAATTAAAAGATATATCCTCATTATTTAAGGAGGAAAATGAAACCAATGTTGATCAGACCTGAGGGACTGATTTATATACATACAATAAATATTCTATAAAAGGTTTCCCATCACTCCACTCCCAGACACCTTCTACGATCTTATCATTCAAGCCGATCCAGAAGATCTCTGTGCCGATTTGTGTTCGCACCCATAACTAGATATAGAAACAGATAAACAGAGAGCTTAAAACTGATTTTGAGGTGGTTTTACTCTCACCTGTGTTTGCATCCTTACCCTTTCATGTATGTCCTGAATGCTCATCAGGTGGCTGGTGTGCTCGATGCAGTATGCATTCGCCTCCTCCCACGACTTTGTGTCATTTGAAAAGAAGTAACATTTATCCTCATACTCCCTCCAACCTTCCCGACACTGACTGTGGGCTAAAGAGGGGAGGGAATTAAATGTCATTTTATAAATGTTGATTCAGAGAACATTATGGTGAAATGGACAGTGGAGACAATGTTTGTAAAAGCAATATAAGCTAATCTCGCAACTAATATCTACAAGTTGTGTTAATCAGAAGGTAAAGTAGCCAATCTGACTACCACAGTTTCTAAGATTTAACCAGGTTTAAAGGCTTCAGATGAAAAGTTTTTGTGCCTAAAGAATTAATTAAGCTCAGAATTCAAAATCATATTCTTATTATTGCTCCCTCTGTCACACTTTTGTTCTGTAAAATCATTTTTGTTTTTATTAAACCCATAAAAAGATGCTTAAATGGGTGTTAGCTGCATTTACATACCTTAAAATAATATTGAATATACGGTATTAAAAATGAACAAGACCAGAGTTCGCCAACCTTTTTTGACTTTGCAGTTTCTAGTCAAAATTTGCCTAGACCTCCAAAAGCTAACTTAAATATCAGCAAAAAAAGATGCAATATATAGATACATATTAAAATTACGAAAATTAGAAATCATATTGTGGTTAATAGATTGGTATATGTAAGAACAAATGAAAGCATTACATTTTTGCAGAAATGGAAGAAATTTGCTTGAAAACAACTTAAAAACAAACTCAATCTAATAAATGTTTTATCTCTTGCACTAAATGCATTATTCCAAACTATTTTTCAATATCACATCATATTCCTGACAAAAAACCTCTAATTTCAACCATTTATACTTTTATATGTATACAAGAGTTACACAAGATGGTTATAAAAACTTTTTTTTTTTTAACTTTAACTGCCATCACAATCAAAGACTTATAGTAAACATATACGGTATATGGTATACTAAAGTGGTAGCAAGGTTTCACAGCTATCTAAAGAGAAATTAAACTTGGATCTGCACGAGCAACAGATAAGAGAAAGTAGAGCCTTTTTGATACGTAGTGTTTCCTAAATTAGTTTTGCAATTTTTTTTTTAATGCTTAAATGGGAGATGTTTGGTTTAGGGGAAGCTTCTCTGCCTGTTAGAGTGGAAATACATAAAACAGGGATCAGTGCCACGCTGCTGTCTCTGTACCGGGTTTGTGCTTTAAAAATTACAGCTTGAAATTGTTTTTTATAATGTTCTAGCTAAACTTTACACCATAGATAAAGAAGCAGTCGATAATCATGGCTAAAGTGGAAGTGGGCATCTAACCTGGTTGGAACAACATACATTGGGGCTTTCAGATATTAAATGAAAAGAAAAAATTAATGTCTCTCTCCTTGCACCACTTGTTTTCTATAACCACCGCTACTTTCTAAGATTGCAGAGCATCCCTGTCATTTTAGTAAAAGTGAGAAAATTTCTGATGAAAACAGGTTCAGAAAATCCCCAAAAGCCAGTAAACCATTTTAATAGTCATCAATCATAAAAGTCTCATGACTGGTTCATATTTACAATCCATTTCAGCCAACTTTGGATTCTGACACAAATCTTTAGGTGAATGTTTGACAAAGTTACAGACAATTTAGTAGGATCACATGTTTTGCACAGGACCTTAACTGGTTGAAAGGCCACCTAGAAAACTAGATGCAGAGGAAGAGTCACACTGAAGTTTTTACTTATTTCATATGCGAGTCACACTTAAACAAATATAACAACAGAGAAATCCTTTGTTGCCTCAAAGTGGGGAAAGAAAGGTTTTCCTGGAAATGTGAGCATGCAGATGTACACGAAGGTAAGGAGATAAAAACAAAAATAGGAATAAGAGATTGAAGTCTGCCAACAATTAAATAGATTTTAATAGAAAACGGCCAAATAATTGTGCATAAAAAAATCCAAAAGACTATTCAAAAAAAGGAAAGAGTTGTCAGCAGGAATGTAACAACTTATTGAGGTTTTGGTGGGGAACTGAAGATTATAAATTCTAATAGCTGCAGGAGGGAAGAATCTGTGATGATGCTTCTTTGTGCACGTAGGATGGAGCTTCTTTGAATACTGGGAGCTAATGTCTCCAGTGATCCACTAGTAAGTGAATGGTACTGTAGATGACTCTATTAAAGTGAAACATAAACAAAAACCTACCTGGGCTTCAGAGTGGCTTATTAATTTATTATGCATGTTTTTTGGATAATTATTAACAGAAAACATTTAAGCTTCAAACAGAAAGGTTTTGGATCGGATTTGATCCTTCCGTACTAACAACCACTCTACTGAGCTAACATAACACACAATGTCTAACAACTGTGTTCCTAAGGCAGCAACCATTTGTTCCCCCCTAAACTTGAATAAAAGACCAAATGAGGTCAACTAAAACATTTTTATTAGAAAAAAAAAATTTAATGAATCATAAAAACCATAAAAAGATTCAAATTTAGGTGGCTGTTCTTATGGATTGGATTGGATTTATTCTTTCTTTACTGACAGGAAGTATAGTGACATCTAGTTGTTTAACTTCAATGATCCAGCCATCTATGCAGAGTTTTAATATTTTAAATGCTAATAGTTTGTTTTTATGCTAAATATAATAGTCTTTATATAGATTTAGAATGAAAAAAATCTAATCCTATTTCATACATTTTCTCTGTTCATATGCTTTTAAAAATTAAATGTTTGGCATGAAATTTAAAGATAAAAAAAAATAAATAATTTAAAGAAAAAAAAATAAGAATTTTCACACATTTTCTGAAAGAAAGGGATGGAAACTCACCGCAAGCAAGACAAGCAGCAAAGAGGAGCAGCTTCACTAAAATACTTCTGTCCATTGTTTATCACTGATCAGTAATTAGGATGTATTTCTGCACATCCTAATATTGAATTGCTTTTTTAAATTTGTTTTTATTTGAGCTTCCCTCAGCCTGTCGATGGAGGATGTGCTGGATCTCTATGTGTCCTGATGTCTGAGCATCTTCTCCGTGGTTCTCCTCTTTTTAATGTTTGTCCAGAGTTCAAAGACTGGAGGTAATAAAACAGAAAAGAAAAACAAGGCAGAGTGCAAAGACGCCCTTATTAAAGCTGCACAGATGACGTATACAGTAAATCCCACTGAAGTTTGCGGAGTGTGTTGTATGTAAAATGATTTGATTTCAGTTATTATTTTGAAGTCTTTTCTTTGCATTAGTTAAGGCTAACCTCATTTTCATTTACCCTAAAACATACAAAACACACCCTACACCAAACACGTAAACAGCTACACATATGTAATCTGATCAAACTGCTCTCAACCTTTTTGTTTGTATACAAAATGACTCAGACAGCAGTGATTACAGCTAATTTAACCATCCAATTGTAAACCTTAAGGAAGTAAAATAAATCTCTTTATTCAAAAGTCCAAAACTTCTAGTGTTCGTAAACAAATAATTGGAAACGCATTTAACAATAAGCCTGCAATTACAGGAAGATTGTAGGACTGTACATAACACCTTTGACAGCAGAACCCTAAAGTCCAGAAGACAATGTTTACAACAGCCACATGTCGGATGCCAATAAAGCTAACCAGCTCAGATTGGTCTCAAATGGTTACTTTTTAACAAGGATCATATAGGATGTTACAAAACATTCATTATGAAATTCTCTTTTATACTTCCGTCATCTTCACTTCGATGAAACGTCTGATGTAGAATTGTTTTACCCCCTTTTTTTATGGTATTTAGGTGTGCAAAAGTTGGACTCCATTTATCAGTTCATATTTACTTTATTCCTTCCAATCAACACACAGTTGCAAACACTGTTATTTGGAAAATATTCCAAAGCAAGTTGCAGAGAAAGCCCACTATTTATGGATCTAAAATAAACAGGTTCACTTCCTGGTTCACTTGGTGCTTTTAATCAGTGTGTTTGGCTCACAACATTTATTAAGCCTGGACCATGAAGACTCAAACCTATCATAACCTGGAAGATGCTGAGATACTGGTGTCACTGTCTATAGTGAAACAAGCTTCACGCCAAACCATTCTGAGATGGTGAAAAAATATCAATTTACAAAACAAATCTAAAAATAAATGTTTAGATGAGTCTTGTTGAGGCTTTTAAACATATAACAATGTACCAGTATCAAGCATGGTAGTGGTAGCGTGTTGCTGATGGTCTAAGTTCTTCAAATTTCAAAACAACCCCAACAAATAAATGGGTGACACGGCAGTTTGGTGTTCTTACAGGAAACCGATCCCAAACTTAATGCAAAACTGGTCTTGGATTAAACTGGGCTAATGAACTTCTGTAACGGTACCATCTGTCCATCAATCATCTTTCAGTCCTGGGTTCTTTGGGTTGGGAAACCAAGGCATCTCTTTAACCATGGGCGTAGGTTTGCATAGGGACTATAGGGACATGTCCCTACCAAACTTTTGGCCTGACCTACATGTCCCTACCAATAATTCTATGTGAATAACATGTTTATAATTTACAATACAGTGTTGTTCCAGCAGGCGCTTCTTGTCTCACAACTTGTATATTGAAGTTAATATTTTAAATGCTCAGTGTCAGTTCCTCTTATAGTTCCCATGTCCACGTAAATACAATTAATCTATTTGCAGTCCCTTGGATATGTTATTTTGCTTTGTTTTGAGTGTGTTTTACCTGTGTTTGCCGCTGCACAATTCTATTCCTTCAAAAGAAAACACCGGATAAATACATAAACAACAGACATATTTAGACTATATTTGGTTAAAATTGTAGACGTTTACCTTCTCTCTTAGTCACTGGTAAGTTCAAATGTAACCCTTTTCAAAGTGTTAAGTTGTCCCAATTTTACATTATTCTGAGCCACTGATGCTTCAAACATTGATAAACAGCATATTGTGTGTAGTGCTTATAAAATTTGTATAAATGTAGCAAAAAAAGCTGTTTTCTCTTTAAATGAAATGCGCCCTGATGCTCACATCAAGCATTAAAAAAATAGGAGCATGCATAATGAGTAGGACCAATGACATCAGACCAATTCAACTTAAGACCAATAGTGTCTCTACCAAAGTTGAGATCAAACCTACGCCCTTGGTTTTCATAGACATGTTTTCTGGGGGGAGGGGTTTGTTCCCAGTCCAGCTGAGATACATGGTCTCTATAGGTTGTCCTGGGTCTGCTCACAACCCAAATATTAGTGCTTTAAAAGCCAAGAAATCAATTATTTTGATAAACTTGACCATTTATGATACAAGCATTCATACACAGTTTAAATTAGCCAGGAGCTTGCAAATAGCCAAGCGTTGTGTGCTTTCTCTCCAACTTGCATACACCAGCAGTGGGGGTGTATTCAAATAGTCAGGCTCGTACGTATAATTTTAAATCTCTGTGGACTTAATTTGTACTAAATACAAAAATGCGCACCTATTTCTTATTTCTACATTAAAGTTCATCCATCAACCCTAAAAAAAAAAAAAAAAGAATACCACAGTCCTTAATGAGCATGCCAGAAACTTCAATCCCTATGTTTTTCTTAATGAGCGGCTTTACAGGGAAATTGTAATAAAATTTTTCTTATAGGAATAAGATGTCATATGGATGATAACTATTACAATGTAAAATGGGAATAAAAAAAAATAAAAAAAAGAGTCTCAGCAACAATATTTAAACAACTTTATTGAACCATTTTATATCCACACTATGTAAGAACAATAAAGTCACGCAGCTCACATTTCACACACTGACATTTAAAAAGACAAAACTGGCTTCAAGTTAGCTATAAAAATGATTGATAAACACCAGCTGCACCATATCTGAGCAACTCTTTGTAATTCTTCTCGTACAAATAGTTTAATCTGAAAGAGTTGTCTGAGCTCCTATTGCGAAAATTCTGCCAAAGGTTATAAATATTCCCCTTTTCCATTTGGCAGAACCACTTAAATACATACATGAGTTGAATTTGGACAAAAATATACTCAAACTTCACATCTATTCTAGGAAAATAGAGAACAGCAAAAGGATTATGTAGTTAGGAATTGCTGGATTATACAAAAATGTTCATATATTGAAATATAATGGAACCATCTGCAGATACAAACCTTAAAGTGGTGCAACATATTGCTTTGATCTTTTCATAACACCTCTGTCAGCAATGAAGGAAAGGATGGAAGGAAAGGATTCAGCTGATTATCTCAGTCAGTAGTTTTGGGATTCCCCAAACCGAGCAAAAAAAGAAAAAGAAACACATGAAAAAGCTGCAAATCCAGGAGTAGAAACCCTTTACTTATCTTGAAGTGAGAGTAAAGGAAAATTTAACAACATCCAAACTCAGATAGATGGTCCAGTAGAGTACTGATCTAGATATATGAAAACAGTGCAGCGCTATATAGGCAGCCTTCTCAGAGATAAATAATCCTCTTACTGGCCATTACAGTATTTGTTTTTCTGAATAGGATCATTCTCAGGAGGTTTTTCTAAATAAAATCTCAGCAAATAGTATCTACTGAAAAAAGTCCAAACAGAAGAAGATACAGTACAAAATACCCCATCAAAGATTACAAATAACACCAGAAGTCTAGAATCATGAAATGAAAATTGTTGCTGTGCTTTTCCTTTAATCAAGTCTTTTCCTTCTCTCTAATGTTTCTTATACAGCTGACTGAGCATACGCCAGCTGCTCTGCTCTCTGTGTTTAGTGCAGCGATTGGATCCAATGGCCACTCTGCGGTCAGTCACCTTTGTCAAATGTGGGGCGGCTGTCACATGCAGTTGACCACATTACTGGAGCCCTGTCCGACGTCTCTGATCTGGCTGACGTGACATGAGCATACGGCAACCCCGGCTCCGGCCCGGCAGTGGGACACAGAACCCACCAGTTCCCATCTAAAACAAAAAGAGGAGAACAAGTGAAAAGTTTAAAAGTCTGCTGCTAAAGAAATCAAATTAGTTCATATAAAGTTTAAAATCCTTATTAGTTTTTTTGTAGTCAAGTTAGAAAACAGTCTATCACTCTCCAAGGTAAATTAAACCTTGCCACCATTTCATCTATTCTAAGCTAGTCTTATCCTTGGTCAGGCAAACTGATCCCCGCAGAAAACATTATCAACAGACAGGGGATTGATGCAAACTAAAGCAATGTGTTCTCAAAAACAAATCGTCGTCCTACAACAAGCTCTGGGGGAAAAAATCCCCATCAGAACATCGATGCATTATGATAGAATCAAAGAAAAACATCTGTGCGGTGCTGAATAATTTACGGCATCTTCATCTCCACCTTACCTGTTCATCCTCGGCTCAAACGCCTCCACTGTGTTCAGGTATATGTTCCCGTTGTGTCCTCCAACTGCAAACACCCGGCCCATTACCGTAGCGACCCCGACCCCTCCGCGTGGGGTGGTGAGCTCTGCCACGTACTCCCAGCGGTGCAACCGAGGGTCGAAACGCTCCACGGAGCTCAGGGGAGAGTTGTCATCAAAGCCGCCTTTGGAACAGCATAGGGAAGATGCATTTATTAAAAGCTGGATGCTATATGAAGAACAAGTGGTCATGCATGTATGAAAGCAACATGTATGAAGCACAAAGACCTGAGCAAAAATAACTCGCATTTTTATCTAACAATAAATACTGAAGCATCATTTCAGATTAAGCTCTGCAATAAAACCTCCACCTGTCAGTGACCAAAAGCGCTTTACAAAACATTAACTTTAGTTTTAATTCAAACCTTTGTGTGTAAAACTAAAGATGTTGAATCTAAAGCATGCGATAACCATAAACAGGACAACTTCAGACTGTAGGTTGCCTCTCACCGACAACGTAGAGGCAGCCATTGAGTTTGCTGACTCCATTTCCTGCCCGCCGCTGGCCCATCTCACACACCTCCGTCCACTTGTTGAGGTGGGGATTGAACCTCTCCACACTGGACAGTGACGCCACCCCATCGTTTCCTCCCACTGCGTACACGTAACTCTAGACAAAAAAAAAAATTCAATTCAATCATGTACCAAACTGAATAA